TTGGTAATACAGGTGTTTAGTGTTTTCCATGTATGCATTTTTCTCTTCATGTATAATATAAGTTTTGCACCTTTCATGCGAGTTGACAGATATGGAAGTGCATAAATTTTGTGGTACAATATACAATTAGTTGATTTAAATATTCTAAGACATTATAAGTTGTCCTTTTTGAGATTCATAGAACTTTGATGGAGTCATGTATAACTCAAAGTGCATATAACGGCCATAACAGTGCATCTTCTGAAGATAAATTTTACATGTCCATATATGCATTTTTCTCCATATATATAATACTGAGTATAATTTTTGCACTTTTCATTTTTATTTCCTTTTAATGCACTTTTGGTTGTTGTTAACGCACCCAATACCATCTCCGTATTCATTGACTCTCTTCGTTAGCATGAATGCATATATAATATGTCTTAGTGCATATTAACATAATCTTATAGCATTATACTTTATTCTGTCCAAAATTGTGTTTTAATTAAATTCAAACTAAATGTATTTTGTATATTAAGTTTGATATTGCTCAACTTTTGCATTGCATCTAGCAGAACTTAAATCTATATTGTGATCCCATATTAAGGTTTTTGATGAAATGTGATGCAAACTCTAACACACTCTAAGTGTACTATGAATACAAAATCTGCATGAGTTTCTGTTATTGTGCATTATCACTATCTACGTAATGCATTTACGTGAGAAAGAAATGCATTCTAATAATAAAGGATAATGCATTCTCAAAATCTCGTAGTGAAATTAATCTATCTTACGAAATTATCCACAACTAAATATGATGCATCAATATATTATATAAGAGATGCATTTAAAAAGTTTTGTAACACATTTGAAAATGGGTACAAAACATGTTTCAATTCTAAAAGCTTAAAATGCATATTTAATAGACTAAAGTGCAAGACGAGAATCTCTTTGAAAATATTAAATCGTTGCCTATTAGCTCAAATGGTAGAGTGGTATGTACTACAGATGTGGGTTCGAATCCTGCATAGGCAAAATATTTCTCAAATTTGTATTATACTTGTTTAAAATAAAGTTTATTCTCATCAAATACAAATTACTCAAAAGCCATTATTCATTAATCTACAAACTATTAGAATAAATTTTCAAAAAAACCTTAAAACGCAAATTATAGTACATATATTTACAATTACAGTACATTCATAAATCTTACTTTCTTTACTTTGAAATGTGAGAAGATAATATCGAAATTTTGTATTCAATATTGGTGTCATTGGATAGATCTCAACGAGATATTTCCAACGACATATAATTTGTCAAGATTGTATTTCTCTACAAAAAAGTTATGTACAAAATAGACAATGCAATAGAAAAACAAACTAAAATGAAATTAATATTATAATATAATATATACACGAGAAGGGTGGATTGCGGCTCATTAAATAAGTATTGTGCATTTACCTTCCTGCCCTCCGTAAACAAATTGAGCCTAATTTTATGGATTGCATTTATTGAATTCCTTTTTAAATTGTGGTGTTTAATGAATTTGTTTTTTTCTTATAGCCGCACGATCATTCTAATCCAACGCCTATCCTTCATTCTTATTTCTTTCATTGTGGGTCATTCTCACTGGAACTCACCCCTATATATATATATATATATATATATATATATATATATATATATATATATATATATATATATATATATATATAAAATACTCATATGACATATAATTGATATATAATTAATGACATATATTATATATGTATGTATGTATGTATATATATATATATATATATATATATCATATTTCAAATATGATTAAACAACCACCGGTTCAACCAGTTGAACCACTGGTTCGACCAGTGAACTAGGGAACCAGCATCTTGACCAATTCAGTCACCGGTCCGATTCTAAAAACTATGGGCGCTAGTGTTCCTTTTTTAAATTGCTAGAAGATTTTGTCTATTTTTGTATATTATGTTTTTCATAAAAGGAAAATAAATGAAAAGTTAAGAAAATCCCTAGAAAAGCATTTCAAGTGTATATTTACATATTTTTTTAGTATTATTAAGGACAAGTACAATATCATTTTGATATAAAATATAGAGCATGACCATTATGGTCATCAATCATGCTAGAGGTATTCCATGGAATGTATCTCAAAGGGTATACCAAAATTATGCGCTAAGAATATAAAAAAATTTGTACAAACACTTTGTGTTTTGTGATATATTAATTTAGCATCACGATACAAACTAAAAGTAGATGCCTACGTTGTAAAATTTGAAATACAACTTTTGGGAACTTAATTGTTATGGCCACATATACGGATATACTCTTAAAAATAAAATTTTTGCTCCTAATTATAATACGGAGTAGTGCGCATAGGGACAATTGTCTGTTTGAATTGAACTTTGTCGGTTAACAACTTCATTACCGATGTCATGTCTTACTGAAATCATTATATACTCAGTACACAATTATTTGAATTAAAAATGAGTAATTATGCCGTTAATTCGTTCAAAATAAAACAATTGACCGTAATTATGTTATGTACCCTCCAGTATTCCACTTTTTACTTTATAGTTTTACATTCTTCTCCAAAAACAAGACCAGAATGATTTGGATGAGGAAAGAGATTAAAGACAAAGATGAAAAAGAACGAGTCGCATAGAGATTGTGCCCGGGGTTTAATTAATTGGCTATACATTTGGCCTTCTAAAACGGCGAAATGGCTTATCTCGGACACCCTCACTCCCTAGCCAACGAGATTGTAAAAGAGTGTAAATCTAATTCAACCGGCAACAGTGGCTGAGATCAGTGACTATTGCGCACAAAAAGCCTCCTCAGTTTTTGAGAAGATACTCTCACACTGCCGCTGGTGAGACTCGATCTTTGGTCTCTTGTTCCAATTTTCACCCGTGAGACCGGTTGAGCTATCCATGCAGACAACTATACCTTTGGCCTGATCGTTGGTGTAGGGTTTTAGCACATAAGAAAAGATCTTTGATTATAAAGATAGAACTGTAATACTTCATCCGTAATAAAAAAAATTCCTACTTACTATTTGTATTGTCAAATCTTAATCATTTTCATTGTTTATTTTCCTTAACTTTTTGATAAAAGGATGAAGTGATATTACCTCATATCATGTACTCCCTCTGTTCTAATAAAAACTTCTTAGTTTGACTTGGAATCAAAATAAGAAAGTATTAAATTATAGTTGACTTCTAATTTTGCTCTCGATGTGATGAGTAAAAGTAAGATGTGATAGATAAATTATTAGAGAAAAAGTATGATGTGATAGGTAGGGTATGAAAAAGTAAGGGTAAAAGTAATTTTTTAATAGAAACTAGAAATGTTTTGTTGGAAGTGGAAAAAATGAAAGAGGAAATGTTTTTGAGAATGTAAGGAGTAGAACTTTCGATCTACTTATTAAATACTCCTTTCTTCCACGATAAATCTTCTCAAGTTAATCTTTTGTACTCCCTCCGTCCCTGAAAA